CGCTCGCCTCCACTGGCTCCCCATCCCCCAGAGGATTGATTTCAAGATCCTCATCCTCACCTACAAGGCCATTCACGGCCTTGCTCCCTCCTACCTCTCCAACCTACTATCCCCCTACCTACCTGCCCGTACCCTCCGTTCCTCTGGCTCCGGTCTGCTCCACGTCCCCCGCCCCAACCGCCCTACTATCGGTGGTCGGGCCTTCAGCCTCTCAGCCCCCAGGCTCTGGAACTCCATCCCCAGTGCCTTCGCCGCTTCCTCCCTTTCCTCCTTCAAGGCCGGTCTCAAAACCTTTCTCTTTGACCGTGCCTTCAGCTCCCCTCTCGACTCTCTTCCTCCTCCTCGCTCCCTCCCTTCCCTCCCCTCACCCTGACCATTTCCCCCCTCCTCTCTCCCTCCCTTCCCTCCCCTCACCCTGACCATTTCTCCCCTGCTCGGGTCATGACCCAACTGTGCAGCGCCTTGGGACGTCCTCCTGACGTGAAAGGCGCTCTATAAATGGAATCTTGTTGTTGTTGTTGTTGTTTATGTTGAATGATCAATGAATAGGTATGATCCAGGGATCAGTGAGGCTTTATTTGGGGGGGTTGGGGGTGTGGAGAAATAATATCAAAACATCACAATATAATAGAGAGCAACAATCTGAAATAATATGGCAGCTTTCACATTGGGAGGAACTCTCAAAGTGCTTCATAGGATTTATTATAACATGTATTTTTTAAGTGAACGGAATTGAATTTCATAGAATCATAGAAATTTACAGCCAGAAGGAGCCATTCTTGTGCCCCTCAATGACACGAGACTCATTTTAGTCCATAGCGTTCCTTTTTGTCTTACAATTTCAGATCACTGACTACCAAATTCAGACTAAATGTAACAATGAAAAATTCTTCCATTTAGTCTGAATTTGGAAGCTGTTTCTTTTTAGGAATACAAAACTAGTCTAATGTATTCTGCTCTATAAGAACATCCTGTATGTAGGGCACTATATAAATGCAAGTTGTTGTTGTTGAACACTGAATAATTAGCAGTGGGTGGTATTGCGGAGTCCTGTAGCTCAGTGGTTAGAGCACTCGCTTTGCAAGTGAGAGACCTGAGTTCAATTCCAGGCAGGGCGAAACCTTGGGCAAGTTTCCTTACTCCACACGCCTAATAATAATCCCTCCAAAAAAAAAAAAAAAAAACAATAATTAAATTGGTCATTTTCAATCTACGACTGTTTGTGGGACATTGCTGTGCGCAATTGGCTGCCGCGTTCGCCCACAAATATACAGTCAATTCACTTTACAGTGTGTTCTGTGAAGCGCTTTGGGACGTCCTCCCGACGTGAAAAGCGCTATATCAAATGCAAGGATTATTATTATTATTATTATTATTGCATAAAACCATTTTATAAACATGCAACTTACAGGTGTCACAGTATTAAAGTTACTATATTGTAATAATACTCCTTGCATTTGATATAGGACCTTATTACGTCAATGAGATGTTGCAAAGCGCTTCACTGTAAAGTGGATTGACTGTGTATTTTGTGGGTGAAACACATCAACCAGTTACACACAGTAATATCCCACAAATAGCCATGGAGAGAGTGACAAATTTTATTTGGGGGATTTGTTAGCCAGGACATATTATCAGAATATTTGATGAGATATTATAAATATAGTTCACAGAATTGGTAGAGATGGATCTGAACTGAGTTCTGGACATGAATTGACCCAAACTGTGACATTTGAGGTTAATAATAAAAAATAATAAGCCTTGCATTAACTCCTTGAAGTTTCTCCAGTGTTACTTTTTGAAACCAATTGAGCAGAAAGAGGACGTATTACAAAGTGTGGTTGTCGAGCAGGATCCATATTAACTTTCAAGAAGGAACTAGATAAATATCTAAAAAGGAGTCATTTGTAGTGGTATTGTGGAAAAGGCAGGTAAAAGGGATGAAATGGATTGTTCTTTCAAAGATCCAGTGTGGACACGATAGGTCAAATGACCTTCTGGACTGTGAAGTCCTAAGGCCCTTGCTTTTCCACAGTGCTTTCTGGAGCTAGTCTCGATTGATGCAAAACTCGATCATTATAGTGAACAAAAGGATTGTCATTGGAATGCTAAAGAGTGTGATTAGATTGCTGGAAATGTGAAAAGCAGAAGTGTAATATACTGCAGAACTGCTTTAATTTGACATAGTGATCGCATCATTTTCTGCCGTTCCAGTCATCAAAGCTAGCCTTGAGGTGCCCACGTCCATCTTTCACTTCACTTAAGCTGCTAATGAGCCATTCGGTGCGATACTAGCCACACTTCTCTAACAAATCATGGTGATGTCGTCTCCACATGCCAAGTAAGGAGCTCCAGCTTACTTAATCAGAGTGCAATATCCATCTCTGCCAAGCATTTCACAAGGTCTGCCTGAAGCTATAATAGTAGATTTTCTTGCCTTGATCGCATTAAGCTCCAGTTAGTGGCTGGGTTACATTAGTCATAAATATAAATGTATTGCTGTCCAATTGCTTTGTTCCACCAAGTATCTTTTCAGTGAAGTTCAAAATGACAGTATTCTTAAAGTATCCCTGCGGATAATCAAGGAATAGAATGCTTTTAAGAAAATCCCAATTTTGACCAAAAACCTTTATAATTTTAATTCAGTTTTGAACCTGTCATAACATAACATAACATAAAATGTAGGAGTAGGAATAGGCCATTTGGCCCTTCGAGCCTGCCCCACCATTCAATCATGGCTGATCTTCTTATCTAAATCCAGCCAATAACCTGACCCTGCCTTATCCCCATATCCCTTAATCCCTTTTGCAATAAGAAATCTATCTATCTCAGTCTTGAATATGTTCAACGACTGAGCGTCAACAACCCTTTGGGGTAGCGAGTTCCATACATTCACCACCCTTTGAGTGAAGAAATTCTTCCTCAACTCAGTGCAAAAGGGCTGGCCTCTGATTTTAAGGTTGTGACCCCTAGTTTTAGTTTCTCCCACCAGGGGAAACAATCTCCCACTATCTACTCTGTCATGCCCTTTGATGATCTTATAGGTTTCTATAAAATCCCCTCTAATTCTTCCATATTCTAGAGAATATAGGCCCGAATTGGTCAGCCTATCCTCATAACTCATCCCCTTCATCCCTGGTACTAACCTAGTAAATCTACGCTGCACCCCCTCCAAGGCAAGTATGTCCTTCCTTAAATAAGGAGACCAAAACTGCACACAGTATTCCAGGTGTGGTCTCACCAAGGCCCTATACAGTTGCAGCAAGACTTCCCTACCCTTATACTCTAATCCTTTCATATTGAATGATAACATACCGTTCGCCTTTTTTTTAAAGGTTATCCTCTGTGTTGACATTTCCTCTTAGTTTTGTGTCATCCGCGAATTTAGATATATTAACTTCGATGTCCTCATCTAGATCGTTGATGTAGATGGTAAATAGCTGAGGCCCAAGGACTGATCCTTGTGGCACTCCACTAGTCACATCCCGCCAATCTGCAAAGAACCCGTTTATCCCTACTCTTTGTTTCCTACCCATTAACCATTCCCCAATCCACGTTAATATGCTCCCCCCAATTCCGTGGGCCCCTATCTTTTGGACCAACCTTTTATGCGGCACCTTATCGAATGCCTTCTGGAAGTCCAAATAGACCAGATCCACTGATTCACCCTTATCTAGTTTACTCGAAATATCCTCAAAAAATTCTGTGAGATTTGTCAAACATGACTTCCCTTTTGTAAAGCCATGTTGACTTGGCCTAATTATATTGTGCTCCCCTAAATACCACACTACCATATCCTTAATCAACGATTCTAAAATGTTTCCTATCACTGATGTGAGACTAACTGTCAACCTAGCTCAGTTGTTAACACTATCACCTCTGAGTCAGAAGGTTGTGGGTTCAAGTCCCATGTCAGGACTTCAACATTTTTAGTCGCAGCTGACAATCCATTGTGGTGTTGCATTGTTGGAGGTGTCACCCTTCAGTTGAGACATTAAACTGAGGTTCCGTCTTCCTGTTTGGGTGAACATTAAAGATCTAAAGGCATGGCTCGAAAAGTGAGGGGAGTTTCTCGCGGTGTCCTGGCCAATAATCGCTCAGATAATATTGATCATTTGTTTCATGGGACATTTCTGAGGCTGAAGGCACGATCCCTGATGGTGGAGCGGAGGGGAGGAGGGACAAACAGGAGGCCGGAGCCAGCCGAGTAGAGGCAGCAGGTGGTGGAGGGGGGGGTAAGCAGATCGGATAGGTAGGGAGGTGTGAGGGCATGAAGGGATTTGGAAGCAAGTGAGAGGATCTTGAAATCGATCCATTCGGTAATTGGAAGCCAGTGGAGCCTGGCAAGGACTGGTGTGATGGAGGTACAGAGTTTTGTGCGGGTGAGTAACCAGACAGCGGAGTTTTGAATTAATTGGATAGCCACTTTTCCGTGAGCCCAGGAATGTCTAATTGCTCATCCAAGATGAGGTCGTGGATTGTGAGAGCTTTATAGATATTTATGGATTCTATGCCACTCATGTAGTCTTTATGAGAGAAAATTGTGTCAATTTCTCCCTGACTGAAAAGGTAATCGAATGAAATTTCAGAATCAATCTTTACCGCACCGTTTTGAAAAACCTGACTAGTCGCTTTCCACAGCTACCATTTCCATGGACGCATGAATGAAATGGGAATCAATTACTAGTTATGAATTAATCCTTGTATCTTGTGCCTTGCAAGTCCTATCCCATTTTAGAGGACAAGATTCTGGTTCTCTCGCTATATATTGCTCAATGGTATTGGATTTCTAATAAGTATGTTAAATGACAGATGGCTGGAAATTCGCACAGTGCTCTGCTCTGACAGACTGCAAGTGGCAGTACAATTGGTGTATGATTCATTGCCACATTACCACACAATTAGTTTTGCCCCAGTTCAAGAGGTGTGCCAGTGATACATCTCGTGCCATTGAAAATATATTTATGTGACTTGAAGATCAGAGCAGAAACCACTCATGGAGTCCTGTAGTTTAGTGGTTAGAGCACTTGTCTCGGAAGCAAGAGGACCTGGGTTCAATTCCCACGCAGGGTAAAACGTTCAGCAATTTTCCTTACTCCTCTGTTTACCTAGCAGTAAGTAGGAACCCAGTTGTTAGTCAATTGGCAGATCTCTTTTCCAGGGTTAATAAACCCTTCAAAGAACAAAAAATGTGGTCATTCAATCCACAACTGTTCATGGGACACTGCTGTGCGCAATTGGCTGCTGGGTTTCGCTCATAAAATATACAGTCAATTCACTTTGCAGTATATTCTGTGAAGCACTTTGAGACGTTTTCTTATTATTAGGATTTTATAACGAGAAGCCACAGAACTTAGACAATATAACTCTAGTATAACCAAAATTGAGAGGAATCCAGATCACTATTTGGAGATGTTGAGATGAGGATAGAATTGACTTTGGTTGTGATGAACTCTGTGGATAAACAGCCTGTCAATACTCACTGCCACATGACTAACTACAACTTGGGCAAAGATGACCAACACCTGTAGAATCGTACTCCAATAGAAAGAAAAGGCTGTCAGAGCTTCTAGACGCTATCCTGTGAGAAGGGCACTATGTAGATGCAAGTCGTTGCGGTCTAAAACATGTTCAAGTGAGGAGGAAGGGAGAAAAAATGATGAGAAAACAATGGATGGAATTAAAAAATACCTGTAATGAAAACTTGGAGCACTGCATATCAATCCGATCTTTACCGTAATACTCCCAATTGAAAATACCTTTATCTAACATATTCTTTATTGCTACAATATGTAATGGCTGATTAATTAACAATGGTTGTTGCCAGACGAATAAAAGATAAACTTCCAAAGGCAGTGGCTTTCAGTTTGTGCAGGTGCTATTCTGTGTGAGATTTGATTATATTCTTAAATAATATGTAGTCAAACATTGCCACAATCAAAACTAAATCACCGCTTATTCACAACAAGAAAATCAGGAGAAATCTGATAACATTTGATACTTGGAAGTATATATATATCACCCTATTTTGTTTTAAGTGTTGGCAGACCCTTTCCCTTCTGGCATTGGTAACTTAGTGTAAGGAAATTAGTATGACTTCAAAGTATATTTAAAGTTTGAAACAAGCTCTAGGAATATTTATTTCCATGTCTTGTCATGTTACTTAAAATACAGTTACAGATCACACAGAAGAATTTTTATTTTAATGAGTTTGAAGATACCTCCAACAATGGCCAATGCCAACAATAAATTGCATTTATATAGCGCCTTTCGCATTGGAAGAACGATCCAAGGTACTGGATAGTCAAGGGCTTGTACCCAAGCTGGGGTTTGGAGTCATGAGAGGTGAAGTGCAAGGGGGGGTGGAGGTGGGAGGATGACTGAAGGAGGAAGGAACAATCCCCCAAATAAAACTGGTCATTCAAGTTCATGGCTATGTGTGGGACATAACTGTGCACAAAATTGAGGCCGTCTCAAAGTCCTTCACAGGATATACTGTAAAGTGTCGTGACTGTATATTTTGTGGACAAATGTGGCAGCTCATTTGCACAAAGCAGTGTCCCACAAATACCCATGGAGTGAATGACCAAATTTATCTGGCGGATTTTTGGCCAGGACACCGGGAGAAACTCCCTTCTCTAAATGTGAACTGACTGTTCACCTTCCTCTTCTGAGCTTTATCTGTGCTGGAGCGCGATTTCGGTAGAAGCAAGCTTAATTTCCAAGCTATTCGTTTTCAGATTGCATTAGCAAGAAGAAACTATGATCGCTGGTCTGCTTCACACATTTTACGCATGTACTTTTTATGCTCATTTGCGGTTATGTAAACCACCATTCTTAATAACCCAGTAACATCTGGGATGAAAGTCCATGCACACAACACAGCTGGTATGTTCAGGATTATTCATCCTTTCAATTTTAAGTGTGAGAAATATATTTTTATACGAAAACAATAAAAATGCATTCCATTCACTACTGAGAAAAAAACTAACGTATTTTTTGGAACAATTATATATTTTTGTAAATGGAATGCCATGACTTTGCGTCTGGTCAATGTATCAACTCTCCGAATGTGTTAGTACGGATACCATTTGACTCAGAAACGTCCCAAACACATGTCGAAGTGTAACTTAATCTAAGCACCCTGTACAAGCTCCAAATATTCAATTGAAATCTTCAGTCTTGCTGTTTTAAAAGCTTTGCTTGTCGCAGGATTCAGCACAAAAGTTGGTTTATAAAGATGTGGAAACATATTAAATTTCATCCATTTATTTACGGTTTCAAGTCATTTCGATACCATGTACTTACTCAGAATGATTGGCATGAAATGAAAAATGTGTACCTGAAGAACTTTATGGTGTTCCTTAACACATTCTTTATGGTAAATAGCAAGGGGCATTGGCCATTCACTCAGTCCTGTAGCTCAGTGGTTAGAGCACTCGCCGCGCAAGCCAGAGACCTGGGTTGTATTCCCAGCAGGGCAAAACATTGGGCAACTTTGCTTACTTCACACGCCTCTGTTTACCTAGCAGTAAGTAAGCAACCCGGTTGTTAGTAGATGAACGGATCACTTTTCTGGGGATAATAATCTCTCAAAAAAAAAATAATAATTTGGTCACTCGGTCCACAACTGTTTGTGGGACACTGCTGTGTGCAACTGGCTGCCGTGTTTTGCCCACATATATACAACAACAACAACAAGATTCCATTTATAAAGCGCCTTTCACGTCAGGAGGACGTCCCAAGGCGCTGCACAGTTGGGTCATGACCCGAGCAGGGGAAATGGTCAGGGTGAGGGGAGGGAAGGGAGGGAGCGAGGAGGGGGAAGAGAGTCGAGAGGGGAGCTGAAGGCACGGTCAAAGAGAAAGGTTTTGAGACCGGCCTTGAAGGAGGAAAGGGAGGAAGCGGCGAAGGCACTGGGGGATGGAGTTCCAGAGCCTGGGGCTGAGAGGCTGAAGGCCCGACCACCGATGGTAGGGCGGTTGGGGCGGGGGACGTGGAGCAGACCGGAGCCAGAGGAACGGAGGGTACGGGCAGGTAGGTAGGGGGATAGTAGGTTGGAGAGGTAGGAGGGAGCAAGGCCGTGAATGGCCTTGTAGGTGAGGATGAGGATCTTGAAATCAATCCTCTGGGGGATGGGGAGCCAGTGGAGGCGAGCGAGGGTGGGAGTGATGTGGTCGCGAAGCCTGGTGCGGGACAGTACACGAGCTGCAGAGTTCTGAATGACCTGCAGCTTGTGGAGGGAGGTGGCGGGAAGGCCGGCGAGGAGAGAGTTCCCATAGTCCAGCCTTGAGGTGACAAAGGCGTGGACCAGGGTTTCAGCAGCGTGAGGGGTGAGGTAGTGCCGTAGTCTGGCGATGTTCCGGAGGTGATGGAAGGCGGTGCCAGTTGTGGTGCGGATGTGAGGGAGAAAGGACAGCTCAGGGTCGAACAAAACGCCGAGGTTCCTGACTGGCTTTGAGAGGTGGAGAGTGCAGCCTTGGATGCTGATGGTGTCAGCGCCTGAGGTGCGGAGGCGCTGACGTGAGCCAATCAGGAGGGCCTCGGTTTTTCGCACGTTGAGCTGAAGAAAGTTGTCTCTCGTCCAGGACTCGATGTCGGACAGGCAGGCTGTCAGGACATCGGTGGTCGTGGAGTTGAGAGTAGAGGAGGAAAGGTAGAGTTGGGTGTCATCCGCATACATGTGGAAGTTAACTCCATGTCTGCGGATGATGTCACCGAGGGGGAGCATATAGAGGGTGAAGAGGAGGGGACCGAGGACAGAGCCCTGAGGGACACCACATGAGACAGTACGGGGGGTGGAGGAGAAGCCATTCGTCGAGACAAAGTGAAGACGGTGAGAAAGGTACGACCTAAACCATTCAAGGACAGTGCCTTGAAGGTTGAGGTGGGAGGACAAGCGGTGGAGTAGGATAGCGTGGTCGACCGTATCGAATGCTGCCGATAGGTCGAGGAGGACGAGGAGACAGAGGGAGCCCTGGTCACAGATGGTCAGGATATCATTGGTGACCTTGACCAGGGCAGTTTCTGTGCTATGGCAGCACGGAAACCTGACTGAAGGGGTTCGAAAAGAGAATGGGTGGAAAGGAAAGAGCGCAGTTGGGAGGCGACAACTCTTTCCAAGACCTTGGAGAGAAAGGGGAGGTTGGAGATGGGCCGGTAGCTTGATAGCTGCGACGCATCAAGGGAGGGTTTTTTCAGGGTGGGCGTGATGATGGCAGTTTTTAATGGAATGGGGACAGAGCCAGAGGAGAGGGACAGGTTGATGATGTCAGTGATATGTGGGGCAAGAAAGTGGAGCTGGGAGATAAGGAGTGGAGTGGGGATGGGGTCAAGGGAGCAGGTGGTTGGTTTTAGGGATAGGATGAGTTCAGTGACAGAGGGTGGGGAAACGGGTACGAAGGTGTGTAGGGGAGGATGGGTAGGAGTCGGAGTGTGGGAGGGAAGGGGTGGGTGGTGGGTGGAAGTTGGAGGGGAAGTGACCGCGGAGCGGATTCCCTTGATCTTGGATTCAAGGAAATCCAGCATCTCCTCGCAGTGAAGGTTGGAGGAGATGACCTGCGCGGGGTGGCGGGGGGGACGGAGGAGTCGGGATGTGGTGGAAAACAGTAGCCTGGGGTTGTTCTTCGCCTCCAGGATTATCCTGGAGTAGAAGGACGACTTGGCCGAGGCTAGAGTGGAGCGGTAAATTTTGAGGAGGTCCAGCCAGATTTGTCGGTGGACCGTTAGGCCAGATTTGACACAGGTGCGTTCAGCAGCCCGCACCTGGCTTTTCAGTGAGCGGAGGTGGGTGGTGTACCAGGGGGAGGAGCGGGAGTAGGAGACAGTGCGGGAAGTGATGGGGGCAAGAGTATCGAGTGTGGAGGAGAGGGTATTGTGGAGGAGGGAGAGAGGAGAAGAGGGGTCGGTGAGGGTTGAAGGCCAGAGGGAGAGGAGTTCAGAGGACTCCAAGGCATCGGTTAGGGATTGTGGGGGTAACTTCTTCCAAGGGCGGTAGAAGATGGTGGTGGGTCTGGTGGAGGTGGGGAGGGGGTGGAGGTGGTGAAGGAGATGAAGTAGTGGTCAGAGATGGCC